CTATTATAAAACAGAGTATCAATGATGGTTATTAGTAACGAAAATCAGCGACGAATCTACGAGTGAATTGTTCCCATTTTGTTAGTTAGGAAATGTACATGTATTTATTTGAGTGTCAAAACTCAAAATATAAGTTAGGATTTGAAATTTTAAAGGTGAAATCAAACTATTTTCTTAACTAGAATCAAGTTTGATTTGAGATATAAGACCAAATGGTGTTGAAATGATTATGCTTATTACATAATGTTAAAAGTCAAAATGGGATTTAGGATTTGGGATTTTAGAGGCAAAACCAAATATATGTATATATAAATAAATAAATATATATATATATATATATATATATATATATATATATTTGTCGGGTTGGAGTACACATGACGAGTTAGTATGCCTGTATATATTGCATGGGGGAGGTGAATTCCTTCCAGTTAAAAAAATGGAGAAAAATCATGTTGGTTTGATTGTTATTGGAGATTGTTACCTAGAAGACACTCCTTTCGTCGTGATCGAAAATGATAGGGTGTTAGTCGGTCCACCACCTGAGGTAACCAGTGAAGAGATTTAGGAGTTCGTCCGTCACCTTCCAATTGTTTATGAGGGTTGCTCGTATAGTTCAAAAAATAGAAAAATTAGCGGGTTCGAAACCACTTGTTAAGAAACATCTTTTGGAAGTTGTCATATTGGAAGACATTGTTGATCTGACACAACCTCGATGCCATGCATATTGAGAAAAAACGTTTTTGAGAATCTCTTTAGCACCGTCATGGATACGTCCAAAAGTAAAGAGAATGTAAAGGCGAGGAGGGATGTATAGATTCATTACGATTGACGAGATTCGCACATGACCATATCAGGCAACAAAGTAGTGAAATCGAAGTCATCCTACAGTTTGAGCAAACAACAAGTAAAACAAGTGTGTGCATGGTTGAAGAAGTTGAAGTTTCTAGACAAATATGCTTCGAATATAAGAGTTGTGTAAGCCTAGAAGATTCCAGTTTTATAGCTTCAATAGTCATGATTGTCATGTGTTTATTCAACGATTGCTTCTTAGTGCTTTACGAGGGATGATATCAACTTCAATATGGGATGCAATAACGGTGACCTCCTCCGGTCATCTTGTCTGATCAAAATGTCGTCTCCGATGATCGACCACTAAACACCACCTGTGAGTATTCCGGACAGCTAGCCCCATCTTTGTCCCTGCAACCCCCTCATTACATATCTCCCTTCCCCCATCCCCACCACAGTTGGTATCACAGTGGTAACACAATTGGTATCACAGTGGTACAACAGTTGGTATCACAGAGGTCTCAAAGTTTACTTGGTGTGTTTTGTGTATCACATTGTGTATCTTGGTGTATTTTGGGTATCACGTGGTGTTCGTTGGAGGCCGGAGGTAGGGAGAGAGAGAGAGAGAGAGAGAGAGAGAGGATAAAAAATTAAAATACCTAAAATGCTCTTTAATTATAATTATAAGTCAAATTACCAAAAATATAAGTTTCATAAATTATTCATTGATTTGTGGTTGAGATTATATCTCACAGTTATCACAAACTAATTAGTTCTCCCTTGAATGAACTCATATATATATATATATATATATATATACACACACACACACACACACACACATACACACACACAGACGAATGATCGTTTGAGAATAAGAGTTAAGGTGAGAAACGTAAGAAGAGATCTCTACCTCTGATCACCTTTAATCTCAAACTCTCTCATGAATCGTGCTTGATCCGGTACATCTCGTCTCGGTGCATCTCATGTTAATGCACATCCAAGGGTGAAGATCATTTTTTACGTTTCTCACCTTAACTCTTATTTTCACCGGAACCCAACCCTATATATACACAATAACAGGTTTATAAACATCATCTTTGAGGTAGACCTTGACGTGCATCTGATTAAATATTGTTTTGCATTTAATTAAAAAGATCTCAACAAGATATTCCATTTAGTTTTACTTCTCGTTAATGTCAGAAAAATAATTCATTATTGCCTTTCAGCATGTGCCGTTATCCTCTCTTATATTATATACCAGATGATTGATTATATGCTTCAAAAATACGAAATCAGTTGTTACCAATAATTTAATTGTAATTTAATAATAAAAATATTATAATTAATTTTATTTTTATGCATTTATTTTAGATCACGAACCAACAGAATAAAAATATACGTTTAAAAAAAAACAGAAAGCAGCCACAACACAACTAACATTAATTTAAGCAGAAGAACCCAAAATTGCAATTATTCATGCAAAAGTAACAAATATTTAATATTATATTTTTCATCACGTGTCTATTTTTAAAATAACACATTTTGGATATATTAAAGTAAAAATTAATTATAAAAGACACCCCTCAACTATTTTGCAACATACAGACATGGTCCCTTTTAATTTCTATGGCTTGTTAAGTATATGGTTTTTATTATTTGTTACATTTCCAGTCCTTGAGGCTAATACCGTTATTTTTCTGTTAAAATGTTTTCCTAGTAACGTTGAAAATAAAAACTTCAGAATTTAATGATATTCTTGGTATGATCTGGTATTTGTTAGGTCTTTTGGAATAATTGGTTGTTTGTTTGATATACAGATGTTCATAGTAGGCTATTTGAAGTGAAATAAAATTTTGACAGGTCAACTAAATCAGTCAGTTATTATTTTATTGGACTAGAATGTAAACTAAAAAAACAATTTAGTCACATATTAAGAGGTCGTTTGGTTCGCAGAATTCGAAGGAATTTGATAGAATTTGAATGACAAATTTTTTTGACCAAATTCTAATGTCTTTGTTTGGTTTACTTCTTGAGATGTATAGAGTCCTTCAAATTTCATTGAATTCCACAAACCAATGAATTCATTATTCCTTGACATAGTAGAAGGAATAGAATTCCATCACCACTCATTCCTTACCCCCACCACCGACCGTGCTACTAATGTTCGTCATGCCCCACCCCTAACCCCCACCACCACACCACTACTGTTGCCGCCACCCACCCAACCCCAACCCTAGTCCTCAACCCACCACTAACCATCATGCCAATATTGTTATCATCACATCCACCACACATTCTTATTACGACCATGCTACTATCGTTACTGTCACACCCCTAACCTAACCCCCACTACTATTGTCGTTGTTACAACCGCCACTCAATCCCAACCCACCTCTACCCTATCCCTACCCACCACTAAACATCATGTCACTACTGTCGCCATCATACCCACCCACTCCCAGCCACCCAACCACCATCTGACTACTGCTATCGTTATAACTACCATTCCGTCACCCACCCCACCCACCCCAATGCCCAACCCTCGCCCCTAACCTAACCCTCCACCACCATAGCACTATTGTCACCGTCACAACCGTCACTCACCCCTTCCCACCATGTCGCCCAGCCTACCCTAAACCTAACCCTTACCACTACTATCGATATCACAACCGCCACTGACCGTACCCACCCTACCTTACCCCAACCCACCACTAACCATCATCCTACCATTTACCACCTCGCCTTATCAATCCTGCCCCTACTCTCTCCCCCCACACCACTACCTCCATTCGTCGATCAGGTGGGGATGGGGGTGGTGGGGGCGGAGTTTAGGTAGGGTAAGCAAGGGTGGTGGGGTAGGGATTGGGTAGGGTGTGTTGGGGTGGTGGAGGCAGGGTTTAGGTAGGATGTGTAGAGCTCGTAGTTGTGACAATGATAGTAATGACATGGTGGTTGGTAGGGTGTGGGCAGGGCGGCGTGTGTGGTGGTCCAAACAAAGACGGTTATTCCAATTCTTTTGAGAGACTCCATTACAATTCCTTTCAACCAAATATGTGGTCAAATTCCATTTTAATTCCTTCAAAGTCAAATTCCTTTTATGGATTCCAATTCCACCAAATTTCATTCTATGAACCAAATGCCCCCTAAGTGAGTTGACATTTTGATTCAACTATCTAACCATCAATCTCATTTTATAAGTCTTTTACACTGAACACCAAAATTTTGAATCCATTAAATGTAGTATTAGTAGTGATGCATGCAAAATAGTTTACTGTTCCAAATAAGAAGTATATATTTTCATAACAAAACCAAAGACAACAGTAGCTTGCAAATTAGAGTTGTACATAAATCGGTCCAAAAAATTTCAGATCTGGTCAAAGCATGGTTACCATCATACCAAAAAAAACTCGGACTAGTGGTTTGGAACAAGTCTGACTAAAAAAAAATGTTTGGTTCAAAGAAGTCTAGTATGGTCCATTTGGTTTGTGCTTATGGTTTGATCAGTTTAAAAATGAAAAAGGACAAGGGAATCAACGGACTTGAAACAAATAAAAAAAATACAAACCATGTTAGTCTTTATCTGATTTGTAAAATGATGGGTTGTCAAGGTTGATAACACAATGGTGTAATTTTTTATCCGGTCTATGAAACATGATCCAGATGCCCATCTCCACCACAAATATGATGAGAAATAAGAGTGTTTTGCCACTAAAATCCAAACTGTATACGTTGATTTTACATATCTTACCTGGATGCCTAACTCTCTCCTCTGTTACCAATATCTCACACTAGGCCTAAAACACCAGTATTCCTATTTTCAGCTAATTATCCTCTCTAAAACAATAAGCATCAACCAAACCAAAAAATCGGGTTTTTTTGTCTTTCTCATTTAACCTAAAAATGTGTGCCATTTTTGGTTCTTTTGGACACATGCAACTAGTTTGATAGTCATATGTGGAACGTTTGCAACATGCTCTTTTTTGTAGTGACTTAATCTGTAATAAAAAGAATAAGAGGAACAATACCAGCATATTTTCAATATCTTAGGGACCGATTTTGTAATTTTCTGTAAAAAGTATTATAGATCGCAGCCTCCTAGTGGCTCCACGAAGCAGCCCGGCTGTTTCTGCTTTCTTCCCCCTTGGCCTTGTGTATATATATATATATATATATATATATAAAGCAGTCTCCATCCCCCCATATGCAAGCATCTCTGTAAATCTCTCATAAATCCTTTCGTTTCATCTTCAATCTGATCATCATCGTTAAGGTTGAGCTTGGAATCTGATACAGCAATGGCGATGCACGATGAATTCACCACACTTGATTTCATCAGACAACACCTGCTTGATGAATGTGAAAGTGAAAGTGAAATCCCTTCTCCTCCACTTCATCCTCTGGATTCATTGTCAAATATTGACCTAAGTGATTGTTTCCTATCAGATTTTAATTCACTGGATTGGTCTACGAGTAATGGTTATAGTCCGCAGAGTGATCCTTCGAGCTCAGGGAGCTCATTTTTTGATTCGCCTCTTTCGGTTTCTAGTTTTTTTGACGCTACTGATGTCGACAACACTTGTAGTTTCTATCAATTTAGGGATTCAAATTCAATTAACTTCTCTGAATTTGAGTCCAAACCTGAAGTGATCGATTTAACAGTACCGGAATTGGTTGAATCGAGTCCGTCATCGAAGATGAAGCAGGATACAGAAGATGAAAGACGGTACAGAGGCATACGGAGGAGGCCATGGGGAAAGTACGCAGCGGAGATCCGAGATCCAAAACAACGTGGATCTAGAGTGTGGTTGGGAACTTTCGACACCGCCATTGAAGCTGCAAAGGCTTACGATAGAGCCGCGTTTAACATGCGTGGTAGAAAAGCAATTCTAAACTTTCCTCTGGAGATTGGGAAGAATTTGACGGAAAATGCGGTGGTTAGTGGCGGTCGGAAGCGGCGATCGAGAGATATGAATGAGGTGGAAATGGGGCAGAATGTGGTGATTAAGAAGGAAAAAAGAATCAAAATCTGATTTTGTGCACCCATTAATGCGGTGAAGATGTAACCTGCAGATTTATGTTATTATTATTTTTTATTAAATGAATCATTTAATTCTTAACTTCATCTCTTCTTTGTTTACAGTTGCTTAATAGTTTCATACAAAAAGATCAAGTGAACAGAATGATTAAGAGACTCTCATGATCTAGTGCAAAATGAAATATAATTGTTTGGTAATTGTTTACAATAAAATTAGGGCACTGAATAATTAAGGGAAGTCTAAGATACAAAATCATTCAGAGAGTCTTAAAACCATTAAGAGACAATTTTTTTTTTCAAACAAGATTCACCTTTTAACGATTCAGAGACTATCTCCTAATAAAATCATTAAAAGATAAGACATTATGTGCAACAATATATATGACATAATTACTAAGGTATTAAATATATACATAAAGAAATGTTTTAAAATACATATACAAAAATCTATTGTGAATATGGACAGAGGATGAGTAGTTGGCATTAAACATTTTCTGATAACATTAGTTTTGAAAAATCTGTTAGGAGCTAATAAATTAGAACAGCAGACTATTTATAGTTAGATGGGAGTGGGGGATATCTTTTATACCATCTCAATGTCCAATTTTTTTTATTAACCAAATATCCAACCCGCTATATGAGTCGATTAATTTTAGGATGACCATCTACTTTGTAAATAGCCCAGAGTTACCACATTTGAACCTTCGTTGACCACAAGAGGGATTTTTATTCCTTCTTGAATTTGAACCTAAAACCTCATGAACTTTTGATCTTTGAAGCCAAGTTCAATGTCCAAATTTAATATATTTTATGTATCTTCTAAGCTTTTCACATTTTCTTATAGCTTTTGTGTTTCTCTCTCTCTCTAAAATAATCGTTAAGTTGGACTTGGGAAACAATCTTTCTAGTTTCTACTCCTAGAGGTATAAATTATATTTTCAAATTATTTATTTTCAAATTAAGGCTCTGTTTGTTTTTACCTAAAAAATACTTAATACCCTCTTATGTTTGAATCAGTCAGACCTTAGGGTATTAAGTGTGTTTTTTTTTTTCAATTAAGAGCTTAAAATCTCTGATTATGTCTGAATTATTTAGAGGTAACATTTTCACTTAAAACTTCTTAATTGCTTTTAGAGCTTCCAATGCTTGCAAAGAAAGCCTAGATTTCAATGATTCAGATTTTAGATTTCAGATTTCAGACGTAAAAACAAACAGTCTGACTGATTCAGATTTCAGACTTCAGCACCACCTCTTAAAATTCAGAAGTGAATTCAGACTTCAGACTTAAGCACCTCTTAAAAAACAAACGCCACCTAAGTATTTTCAAATTATGGATTGTGGTTAATTTTAGTTGTCACATATTGGTGAATAGTTGAAAATCTTGAACAAAATAAAATGCGTAATAAAGGTGTTCGGTCAGATCATGGGGTTTGTCTCGTATGGTTATCTTATTTTGGATGAAAAAAATAGGTAAAATCAAGCCATTAATGAATTAAGTCTACCATTTAATATTACGCCAAAATCAAACAATCTATCTATCTATCTATATACATATATATATATATATATATAGAGAGAGAGAGAGAGAGAGAGAGAGAGAGAGAAAGAAAGAGATAAGAGATTTACTTTGCAAACTACGTTATTTGTATAAACCGTACAAACCTCATTCAACCAATCATAATTTTTCATTTTGTTCATTTTTTTTTTGTAATTATGAGAGGTTGATTAATCATTTTTATTGTGGACGGTGTTAATCATGGATATTATCATTAGAGAAATACATAAACAGTTTCATTAAAATTTCATTAAGTATTATATGCGACAATTTCATAACCATATATTAAACAACTTCATCAAAAAAAAGTATCATATGAAACAATTTCAGAAGATTAACAATTTCATAATTTTTTTTATAAGATTAAACAATGAAATCGACGGATGAAGGTGGTTTGCACGGTTTGTACAAATTGGTGGTTTGCATTTGATCGCTCCTCTCTCTCTCTCTATATATATATACTAGGAGGGTAATCGTGTGATGCATCGAGACATATTCCGATTTCAACATTTTGTTTTATTCTTTATCTATGTTGATATAATACGGTTTTATGTGGTTTTGAGAAAGCGATAATGTTTTTATTTTTGAACAAAATATCATAAAATTTTGAAAAAACTATATCGATATTAGTATCAAATGAACTATTTAAAAGTTCATGTTTGTGTAATTTCTTTAATTCTATTTTTTGTTATAATTTAATTTAACGTAACGAAGTAATTWAATTTAGGTTTAATAATATAATTTTTTTTATAAAGATAATAATTAAACATTCTGTTAAAACTCAATGATTGTCCTAATTATATTTTAGATTTTTTATTTTATTTAAAATAAGATATTTATCCTGTATTTGATTATGTTTATCTGCAGTTAGTTACACAAATTTAAACATAGAGCTTTAATAAGTTGTACTTACGCATAATTATTTGTAATCTTGAATTTTAAGTAATACGCATAAAAAAAAGTACTTTGTGCATGAAAAATTATTTTAAAAAGTTTTTGCCAAATGCTTTATAATATAGTATAGATAAGCAAAACCTACAAAGAATGATGTGGCACATTCTTAGAGTAGTATTTGTCTAAAAGAATTTTTCATTGTTTTGAGTTTTTAAAATATTAAATAAGTTAAATACTATTATATTCCTAAATGAAAAATATGTATTTCATAGGGATGGTGATTTGTCCCGAGTAGGTGGGGAACCCGGTTCACCTGACCCGAACGGGACGGGGATTCCCCGCTAAAACGGGTACCGGGGCCGGGGATCCCCAGTAGAATTAAATTAAATGATATTATTTATGGGTTTTGACCGGGTTTGCTTGAGGTTTAACTGGGACGGGATGTTAATCCCCGTACCCACCGTGGACCAGGGCCGAGAGATGTTACTACAAACCGGGGCCGGGCCCGGGGCCGGGGATTACAAAACCGGCCCCATCCCTCCTCGTTGTCATGCCTAATTATAAGAAGACTAATTTGGTAATTTCATTTTCAATTTAATTACCTTAACTTTCGGTTTTTTATGCAAAATTTTTTATTGTGGATATCATTGTTCTTCATCCATAAAGTCTATGTAAGAATTGTTACATTTTTTATGTGTTATATTTTGTTGGTGAGTGTTTATTATTCCATGTTATTATATTTTTGTTAATTATTGTTACATTTGTTTTTTTGTGCATTACATGTCTTTTTTGCAGAACTTTGTTATTGTACATGCTCGAATGTTATTCCTCCATAAACTTTTCTAGGCAAACAACTATTACATTTTATTTTAAGATTTGTGTGGGTTATATAATGTTGATGAATGTTTTTTACAAAAAAATGTATATCGGTTAATATTCTTCAGAGTTTGTTTTTTTTTTTGACCTTCAATGATTTTGAATCATGTTCAAAACTAGATTCATATTGTGAATTTACTTTTTTTGCTTCATATAACTTAATAGTTCCAACATTGTTTTGTTTCAATCTTTAGATTGATACCAGTAAAAAATGTATCGAAGACAATCGATTTAGAAAATGAAGCTGATGAATCACCTTTACACATGATATAACATCCAACTTCGATAATATAGTGTCTAAAAGAGAATTGTGTGTAATACTTGGACAATATGTTATTTATATGTAAATGACATGTTGGAATTTGCCAACTGTGAGTAATAGGGTATATAAGAGGGCTCATAGGTAGGATGATTTTGGGGATAAGTGGCTATTACCAACACCTCAGAAATAAGTTGATTAGATGATGTAAATGTTGAAAATGCAAAGTATGTTGTTATTTTGGAAAATGGACATGTAAGTAGAATGCCTAAATGGGATATAGCAACCAACATCTTGAAAGAAAGAACCAAAACATGATGTTAAGCTTGGAACACTCCTAAGTTGGTTATTATGAAGTGCTAGAAGTGATGGAAGTCGAAAAAGTTGAACCGTTTGAGTTTTATGAAAATACGTTTCTAATTCGGTAAATTTGCAAACCATACTCAAACAAGAGGGTTGTAGTGGGAGTTTGGTCTTGGAATTTTAGAGTTATACTTCTTAGAATATGAGAGGATCTGAAAAGTTTCACGTCAAATGAAGCTAAAACGGGGGCCAGAAATGTCAACATCTAAGTTACGGATACGTAAAACTGTTTTTTTAGACCTTTTCTGGAATATTTTTGTTAGAAGTTATAGATTATCTTATTACGAACGCATAGGAGAAAACCTCATCGAAGACGAAGGTTCGAACGAAAAGTTATGATTTTTTAGCATTTAGCGGTCAAATTGGCCCCCAACCGGGTTAAACCCGACCCAAATCAGGTGTTAGTGAAAAAAAGATGGGATTTAAGGTTTTCTTTACCATTTTTCAGTTCAAGAAACTTTTACACCTACTAAAGGTGCGATTTTCACACACTTACGCTTAAATCTTTCAATTCTTTATGATTTGGAGATTAAAATATTAGATTCTTGAAGAATATTGATAATTATCAAATGTATGCTTCTAATTTCAAGTTTATTCCATGTAGTTAGTGATAATTAAGAAGGTTAGGGTTAGCATTTGAAGGATTATAAAAAGATGATGCTAGATTAAGGTTGTTTGATGATGATTATAGTTTAATCATGAAAGAAACTTGGAATAATTGCATGTATTAGTAAGAAAGTCATGAGATTAAGCATTGTTAGTGATGTTAATGATGATTAATATGGGAAATCATGTTTATATGTTAAATAATGATAGAATATTTGAAGTTTTGTCAAGAATATGTAATATGAGAAGAAAACCAGGAGACGGTATTGAAATACAAGAGAATTGGACATTATAATGGATAATATGGGTGAATTGGTCATGAAAGAGTATGGTTACAACTCTGACTTTGAAAATTCTTAAATAATTGAAGAAAAATTGTACGAACATGAGATCAGTGTCCATGGAAAGATAAGAGGATGAAATACAATTCATATTTAGACATGAAAATATGAAATTGAAGTTAAGATATGTAAAAACTGCAACATGTGCTGTGCTGTAAAACTGA